TGATTGGTTGATAAGGTCCACAAAGGGATTTTTTAATCCACCGTTATTTAATGAATTTTTATATCGACGTTTGAACAACCAAACCGACTTTAAGAATAACTGTATATTGTTTTGGTTTAGAATTACAAATATGTTAGGTAAATTGCAGCATTGGTCAAGTAGTGATGCAAGTCCAACTTTCATGCATTGGATTTTAAGATCATTTTTCAATACCTACTTTCAAATGAAACACAGAATCTTTATGTTTCACCCCCAGTTCCATGAGTTTTACTATAAGGCAAATATTTTAAATGGTCAAAATTCTGTACCCATTTTATATTTACAACGCTATATTCATTACGAGTACCTACGTAACTAAAACCTCTAAGTTTCATTTAAGTACACACATAAAAATTACTAACCTTTATACTATTGTAAACAAAAAAGGATAATAATTTTCCTAAGCTAACTTCCTGGTACAGAATATAACCATTCATAGTCACAAAACAATAGAACATTTAGGACTTTCATTCATTTAGAATTGTTTTTGCAAAATTTCAAAACAGATTAATTGAAGAGATTAGCAACGTTACTAACGTTTCTACTTGCGAGATATTTTTCATAACAAATAGAGACAAAATGAGAAATCTCTTCATATATTATTATGTAAACTTCTTGGTAGTGTTTGTTTGTTTATAGATAAACAAAATTATTACATAGCATAGGGTCTTCTGTAACTGGTCCCTTTAGAGCATCTGGTGCCTCCAGGGTTGTCATGGTAACCAGTAACTAGGATTATTTTAATAATGTAAGAGCCTATGTCTAAAGCGGGGCGAATTTTTAAATAAGGTTTCCTGCGGTAAATACTGACGAATTCTTAGCTATTTATACTCACTGATTAATAGCCTGTCTGGACACTTAGTAAGGAAATGTCTAATCGATATCTAAGTACTAAAATCCTGCACACTATCTAAGAGCTGAAACCATTTTACCTTCGGAAAGACTGAAAATGATATTTTTTTGAGTCACTTTAACAATGAGTCTTAAGAAAATGTCTTACGAGTTTGGAACATTCAAATGTGCAATGCAGGAAAGGTAACGGGACAAAATTAGTGTTTAATTTTAGAGATCGTGGGAACCACAGGTGGACTCGTGGGCGTTATCTAATCTGATACGGGTTAATGTGACAATTTCACTAAACTGTACACAAATGAGACGCACGTTTGTTTTGCGAACTCCCCCTCTGTTGTAGTTTGTGTTATATTTTCCTGTATTTGTGTTATTTTGATATATTTTTACAAGGCTCAAGCTGATTTTTCTGCCGACGAATAGCCTATATATTATGGTAGATGATTTGTTGCTTATCAACCCTGCCCTGAGACCAAATTTTTCATCGCATTACATAAATATAGATAAGTTCGTGCTGTTTAATGACATCCCGAATACGATAGAAGTATACAGAGTGAATGTGAATGGAATCGTCGATAGAGGGCGCCCTAGACGGACATTTTTTATTTAAGGGAGGAAAATCATCGAATGACTTCTCCCGCATGGGAGGGAGTATTTTTTGTTTTTTATTTTAACGTTGTTCAATCACACTGCACACAAAGTGTTGTACCGTGCGGAAATCGAACCCGCGACACGTTGCACGGCAGCCGGTTGCCCAGCCACTGCACCAACCGTGCAGTCAATCAATCAAGTCAAGTGAGTTAAGTCAAGGAATGTCAAACTCTTACTGATTGAAAACCACCTCGTTCCTAATCCTGCACTTCGAGCCAGAACCCCGGCAACCCGTTAAGTCCTCTGCGACTCCGTATCGGCATCAGCCTTATGGGGACCCATCCGATCCGTCTGATGGCTCGGGTCTGGTTCGGTAGACGGACATATATCGACCAGATTAGTGATATATTAAAGAAAGGCCAATTTAAAAGTACCCTTAACCGACGAGCATTCATGAAAAACCTGATAACTGTTGAGGAAACGGAAGAAGTATGTAAGAATCATTGGTGTTCCATAGTCTCTGCCTAAGCCCATGGGAGATAGGCGTGAGCCTATTTAAGTATGTATGAGCAATTGAACAAAATAAGTTAATTAAACGATTAAAGTAAAAGTAAAAAGTATAAAGAGTCAATATAAAAAAAACAACATGAATTTGTATCAAAACATTCCAGAGGAACATAGGAAGGTACCTACTAGTTAAACCTATCTAGGTATCGCTTGCCATTGAACTTAATTGAAGAGTAACTGAGATCACCACCCGTTCGTTTTGTCACGACCACACACAGATAATGAGTTGATTGTAATTTCTCACAGGTCTCCGATCCAAATACTTAATCCTAGTTGAATTCTTAAAGAATGGACTGCAACTGGTCAATGTCGTCGGGACCCTGAGATTGAAGTCTTCGCATATATGAGGGTTTAAAAACTTAAGTACCAATGTGATCTTTTCCGAGTTATATGTACTTTCTAAGCTTATTTACCAATGACATACAGTGAAGCAAACATCGTTTTTTTTTATAAAATAATCTAGTAGTCGAGCAGATGGATCACTTCAGATGGTAAGCAATCGGCGCCGCCCATGGACACCTGGAACACCAGAGGTGGTATATCACAAGTGCGTTACCAGCCTTTTGGGGTTTAGGAATTTGAGGATTGTTGGGGAACTGAGAATTGAGAGACTGAGGAGGGGGTTAATTGGGCTTCCAGTAACCTCACTCAGTCGACAAGACACAACGCAAGCGTTGTTTCATGTTGGTTTTCTGTGAGAACGTAGTATCACTACGGTCGAGTTGGCCTATTCATGCCGAAGCATGGCTCTCCCACACTTATGAAATCGTGAGGAAAGCTGGGCTTAGGTATAATTTCTAATAATTATAAGTTCGAAATCGCCAACCCGCATTGAGCGAGCAATAAGACTTCTTCCATCATCAGGAATGACCTTCTGTAGAACTTAAAGACTTACTTGAGCAGCATAATTCCCACATTCCAACACATACTTTTTTTAAAAAGAGTAACGAATGGAGTTTCTTGCTCGTTCTTCTCCATCCGAATCTACGTTTTGGAATGAGCACCTAGCTTCACCTAATTTCACTGACGGACTAACTGACAGACTATTATTTATTTTGTATTTGTTGACGTTTCAAAAGTACCAAACTATGGTTTAATTGAAATAAATGCTTTGACTTTGACTTTGATGATTTCATCAGGAACCTCGATTATTTTCTTCGTTTACCTATTCTAGTCTTGCTTGCATTCTCCGTTTTTCCTGTTTGTCACTACTTATAGTCCCGTTAGTACATCGAACTTGAAATTCATGTGCATTTTAGATTAAGGCAGGTACACACGTACCGACGTAATTGTTCATGCTAATTCAGTTTGGTTTAACTCAGCTAGTTAGGTTTTAATTAGCCGGTAGTTGTGTAATCGTTGGGATTAAGTGTAATGTCATGGTATAGATTATCTACACTTGAGAGTACGGAAGAACGCACTTTTTCATTTCATCGAACCCCCTAAAACTTAAAAAAAAATCCTTGCAACACCATGCTCGCATTTCAAAGATAACTAAATTGTCTTTCATACGACATACATACGTATACATTACTAATGATTTTTTTTAAGGGGGAAAATCATCGAATGATTGCTCCCGCCTGGGTGAGGAGGCGGGAGGGAGTGTCAGACTCTTACTGACTAAAAACCACCCCGTTCCTTCTCCTGCACGTCGAGCCGGAGCCCCGGTTACCCGTTAGGTTCTCCGCGACATTACCAATGAATAAAACACTTGTATCAGAAAATGTTTATCAAAAATTTTAAAAGAAAAAACGCAATTGTCTTCATCTCTTTGCACATAAGTGTAAATTTGTTTAAAAGTGATCATCATCATTTTCATCTGTGGAACTACACTGGTGGACTATCGGACCTCCTCTACAAAATAGGTCATAATCTCAACGCTTGGGGTAATTTAAAAGGTTCAGGTTTATTAGAGAGTGCTGCTTCCCGCTCTGTGTTAAATGTGTAACGTAGTCCTCAGTTGGCACTTGAAACACCCACGGAAAACGTAGGGGTGCTCTACCCTGTCATCATCACACCATCATTATCATCATAATCAAGAGCTAAAAGAAGTCCGATGCTGGACAAAGAATAACTGAATAAGTTTAAATTAAACTAAATATTTTAAAAATTAACATTTTTGATGGCAAATAAACTGTAGCTAATTGAGTGGACACAATTAAAAGTATCATGAAAAGTGTTTTATCTATTATAAGTATGTCCAAGTGTAGGAGACCCAGTGCTTCGGCACAAATCGCCCGGCTCGACCGGAGTGATACCACGGCCTCACAGAAAACATGTAACATAACAAACAAACATGTATAAAATTTTGTTTCGTCGTGTGAGCGAGGTTACCGGGGCCCAGTTATCCCCTTACCCAATCGCCCTAATCCCAGAATCCCCAACATTTTCATTTTCAAGTATTAAAAACCGAGCCGAATACGAATTTTTATTTTCTGTAAGAATATTATGCCTTGTGACGTATAAAGACATACGGTAAAACGATTAACAGAACTTGATTGGACATAAATTAACTACATTGTACATACTATAAAATACTGTAACCATAATATAGAGGTATAGTAAAACACATTCAATAAAAAACACCACAAGTGGCGACATCTATGCGCCAAGTCACTAAGAATGAAACCAGTTACCTTTCGTTGAACGCTTATTCATATTCAAGTAACAACATTCATGGTACGTATTCGGAACTGTGGTTTAGCATAGAATATGGTACTAGTAAAGACTAAGAGATGGCGTCACCTGTTTCATAAAACTGTCTACTTCTCTTGTAATGGTTTTACGGAAACAAATATTATTTTCGGAATCTTCATGTTTTTCGTAGGCGTCTACTGGACTGTCTATTCAGTCATAATAAACCCTAACTTACCATAACATTTAGGTATCCAGAATAATTCTCATTCAGTGTTTTTCCGAAAACGCACCAACAATAAAAAAGACGATGCCGAAATAATAGTTTTATTGAAGGAAATAAATCGCACTAAGAATTTGACATAAAAGGAGAATAGAAATATTTAACGTTTACGCAAGTGTAACGTAGTATTGAAAGCATTATGCTTGGCCCTGGCCTTGAGTTTTGTGGTAGTAGAGGTATTATCCGAAGAGGGCGATTTTGTCAAATAATAATCATTATTCATCGGAAGTCTGATTTTCGTTACAAAAATTATGGCCGGATTGCAATTTCCTTGATCTTCAAGAGACCAATAATCTGAAAAAATAAATTGTACTGAAAAGTCGAAAAACATATTTGCCATGGTAATTATTATACTATGGCCAGTTATGGTAAATACCTACACTCGTTACGCATCTTGTGACGTATTCTCTTCGTAAGGAGCTACGCTGTTGACGGTTACATTGTTGACAGAAACAGCCGAACAGCAGTCTCCGATTACCTTAACTTTTCTAATATATTTTCACCAACTCGCCTACCAAGCGTTGATAATGATAAAGGCAGGCGCCTCAGTTGATGACGTTAGTGATTTGACATTTTCAATATTTCCAAGTCTGAAGAGCTTTCTTTCTTAAATTCTTACAACAATCCGAAAAGCAAGAGATTTGACGAACTGATAAATATAAATTAAACTAAAAAAACAGTAGGTAACCCAAGATATATACAAACCTCCGTGTCTAGCGCAGTTTGCTCCATAATAGGTGCACCTGTCAGGAAATTCGACAATTATATTCGTATCATAGTTAATGGCACAAACTTTGTCACCACCTTTAGTGCAATGCTTCTCTTTATCGCAATTATATAATGGGTATTTTTCTAGGTACTGAAATAAGATAATAAGGTACTGTAATCCTTGCCAAAACAAATACAAACCTACAGTAGGTAACTTCCTACAAAAAGATATAAAATAACAAAAACAATCTAGGTCTTAGACAAAAAGGTTGTGAGGAGTACCAATAATAAAAAAGACTATGATGAAATAATAGTTTTATTTAATTAATCGCGCAAAGAACTTGACAAAAGAGAACTGAAAGATTCAACGTATATGCAAGTTTAACGTTATATTGAAAACATTACGGTTTGCTCTAGCCTTAGGTTTTTTGGTAGTTCTATTATTATACAATGAGATCTGTTTCGTCGCATAGGCATGTAAATCGAAGGTATCGTTCTTCTTGCCAAAAAATACGGTGGCACTGCAATTACCTTCCACAGGCCAAAAATCTGCAAAAATTGAAATATAATAAAAAACATATTTAATTATTTTATTATATGTGAAAATTATGGCAAAAACATTATGTACTCATAGCTGAGGCCCATAATACAGCCATTGTCTGTCATGAGATAAGGACGATAATGACAATGATGAAGATAATGATGAAGATCTCTTAAAATGTTGATGGCGCTAATGATTTGGTTGTTTTACCCCTAAAATGTTCAATACGTCCTAGCCTTCTTAAATCCTTATAGCAATAAATCCGAAACCAAAAAGCAACAAGCTTAACGACCGATAAATATGTAACTGCAACAAAGAAAACAATCAATCACAGTTTTGTGCAAGGTCGAGTGTATAAAAATGACCCAATTACATCTGACAGATGAAGCCCAGTAGGACCGATGCCCATCCATAAAAAAATTATACAAACCTCCCCGCCCATCGCAGTTCGCTTCATAAAACGTGCACTTGTCAAAAAATTCTACAGTTAGATTCGTATCATAGTCGACGGCACAAAATTTGTCACCTCCTGGAGTGCAATACCTCTGTTTGTCGCAATTATATAATGCGTATTTTTCTCTGTACTAAAATAATAAGAAATCCGATTCAAAATTCATGTTTATGATAAACTAGTCGCGGATTAATTGGCCAAAGGTGTCGACTATTTGTTTTATACTTTGTGTATAATTTTATGTATAGTTTACGATGGATGTTAGATAGTCGTTATTTATTTTGATTATTCATGGCATTACTTCAACAGACCATTTCTATTGTGACCTTTGTAATTAAAAAAAACCTGTTGTTTCGACAGTTAATACAGATATAATAAATTGATTTCTAAAATGAAACAAAAGTACCTATTGAAAACTTAGATTTTATTTTATTATAATAATTTCAATTGTAATGCAGCACGTGAGCTGTTATATTTTCTTATGGGTATTTTTTCGAATATGAAAATATTGTAGAGTCTGGTTTTTACGGCGTTTGTCGAGTTCAATTTTAGTTTCACAGACGACTTGAGGTACCAGGTGGAACCCTGAAATTACGGCTTGATATTATTCCTTTACAGTATAAATTACTAAGTACCATATGATACAATAAAATAAACAATGATCTGGACTAAGTCAATATTAATGATAGAAAAAGGGGTTAAAATATAGGCAAACTTTTTTCGATTTAATGATTTCATTCAAGGCAATAAGCATCGGGTAGATAGAAAAGAAAAAAACATTTATAGTACTAACTTCCAGCTTTAAGACAATTGGCCTTGAACAATGCGCACAGGTCTTCAAAAACCGCAAGATTTGGACTGTTGGGGTCATAGCCGCACACTTTAGATCCCCCGGGGGAGCATGACTTGTGTTTATAACAGAAGAACTGTGCTTCACGCTCAGCTAGCACTTTGTCTGACTAAGAAACACCGATAATTTAAACTCAACATAATTAAAAAAAGAAAATTATTTACAATTAAATATGTATAATGTATATACATTTATATATAACATAATATAATATACATATATATACATTATTATAATAATAATAAACGCCTGATTTTTGTAGAGAAAAACTACTCGAATGTGAGATTCAAAATACTTCGCTTTATAATAATAAAAAATATATTTAAGTAGGTAGTTCAAAAATTATTTCTAATTACTTACTGGTCTATATGGTTTTGTTGTTCGCATCTTACTTGATACGAAGAATAGTACTGTAACATTTAATACAAAATTAATTATATATTCTCATATTATTTAAGATATTTAACAAATATATTATATACATTATAATCACTACATAGTATAAAACAGAGTCACTATCCACCGTGTCTGTCCCTATGTATGCTTAGATCTTTAAAACTACGCAACAGATTTTGATGCGATTTTTTAAATATTTTGTATGAATAATACATGCATATTGCACCCGTGCGAAGCCGGAGGGGGTCGCTAGTAATATACATAATATACATTCGACAAATTTCAATCATAACCAATTATTTTAATGTACACAGTAAATATTATAAACATTTTTGAGTAAGCAATCTTCTGATGGATCAAGATTGAAATTTGTCGGCACTACATAACAGATAGGTACTCACCGAAAACAAAAATAATGGGATATGTATTCATTACCAAAACAAATGTACCATCATACACAACAACTTAATATTTATTTATTGGTTACCACTTATATACTTTTTTAGCACATTGTATCCATTTAGCCGGTGAAAAGTCTGAAATAAATTGATTAATCAATTTAAAACATAAAAATACTCTGTCTTGTTGGCCGAGTGGTCACAAGTGCGACTACCGGGCAAGGGGTCTCGGGTAGAATATTTCTCCAAAATACTGAAGTTGGTACTTCGTTTCGCAGCATAGATTGAATCTTTATTGCATTTAAACAAGTCTTATTCTAATTCGATTGCTCTCTGTCCCTGCGTAATGGTTTTGAAGAATTTAAGTATTTATCCGGGTTCAAAATATTGCTTTGTTGTTAATAAATTTCAAAGGC